AGAGCTATATTGACCAGTCCTCCATATTTGCTGCAAATGATATAGACAGGCTTGCACTTTCTTAGAATTTCTATACAGTTTTTCTAAATTTTATTATGATTACAACCAAATGATTATATGTGAGAGTGATTCAACCATATCTTAAATGCTATAAGGAAATGGCACATGCTATTTAGGAAGCGAAGACAGAATGGAGAAGGAATAAATATTAAAAAAATAATAAGAGCACAGAAAGCAGGGAAAATAAATACATGATAGTCTAGGGTAGATTTTGCCAATGAAACTGAAAGACAATATACTATGCCATTGATGCATCAAAAAAGGATGGTACAAAAATTAAGGGGGGGGGAGCTAAAGAGAAAGGAAATATGGATATATTTGGTTAGAGAAACAACTAATAATACTTTATAAAAGGTACAGTATATATGCAGCCAAAGATAAATGAAAAACAGAAGCTATATAGTTGCCTAACCTTTTTTGATCATAGATGTTTCCTGTTTCTTTCCTCAAAGAATAGGAAATGTAGGAGTTCATCGTATTACTGGAATATTTTGCTGTTTTGCACATCACCTCCAAAACCCTCCCCATTCTTATTATTTCAAACAGCTGTCAGCCAGCTCTTCTCAAAAATCCCAACAGTTAATTAGCAACAAGGCATAGTAAATATGTACAGCATACCACATTTAATTATACTGTAATTTTCTTAAGTTAGAAACTGCACACTATTCAATTTGTGACATTTTTCCTTTCTTAGAAAAAGAAATTTTAGCCTTCCAGTTAAAATTACCATAAATTTCCTTGACAACTCTAAGACTGTTGAATTGTTTGAACAACCTATTTCACCTTCACAGAATGCAAGTCATGTAAAAAGCTAATAGTTGTAATTTTTGAGGGGAAAAAATTTCTCTACGCTATTTGGCAGTATGATAATTGGAAGCAGGTAATGCCTAAGCTTGTTTTTACCTCATGCCTTTAACTTTCTATGGTAGAAGACAGAGGTGGGATTCAGCCGGTTTGAACCAGTTCACGCAAAAATTAAATTTTTGCCCAGTTTGGAGAATCGGCTAATCACACTACTGGCTGGCCCCGTCCCGCCCCTCCCAGTCACTCCTTATCTCATCTCGCCTGCCTTGGCCATGATATAGCAACTGTATGCTGGCTCCCTCCCTCACTTGCCTTGACCACATGGCCCACACGGCGCAGCCCACTTGCCTGCCTTCGCTCCAGCCTCCCACACAGCCCAGCTCCCTGCTGAGCCTTCCTTTGCCATTCTCTGCTGTCTCTGATGTGGCCTAGCTACCTGCCTGTCTGGTGAGCCTTCTTTCGCCTCTTTGCCGGTGCAAACGGCCTGTTACAGGACCTCCCTAGGGCTCCCTTGGCCTCTAACAGACTGAAATGGAAAGTCCCTGAGCCTGATCCAGCCACCCCGGGTCTTCCTAGGCCTCCCACGGCCTCTTACAGGCCAAAATCGAGGGTCCCAGGGTCCAATCCAGCCATCCTAGCCCCTCTTTGGGCCTTCCTAGAGCTTCCCCAGCCTGTTAAATCTTAAATGAAGGGTCCCTGAGTTCAATCCAGCTGTCCCATGCCCCCTTCAGGGCTTCCTAGGGCTTCCCTGGACTCTTACAAACCAAAATGGAAGGTTCCTGGGCCCAATCTGTTCTCCCCACCCCATTTCCCACAGCTTTACTGTACTTACTTTTTGAAGAGCTGCAGAAGAGGAGGAGCCACGTGGCAGAGAAGCCAAAATGTTTTATTCAGAAGCCAGTGAAGTTATAAGAATGTGAGATGTAAGGAAAACAGCTTTCCCCATCTGAATAAAAGTCTTCGGCTTTTCTGCCATGAGGGTCTGCAGGCTTAGTTTGGGCCCAGTCTGCTTGCTGCTGACTGGCTAGTTCGAAGGAGCAACTTCAAGGATTGAGGGGTGGCAGCCAATCAACAAGAGCCTTGCAGTTCAGCCCGATGAGACAAAGGAAGCAACCTCCCCTTTCATTGGCTGCTTCTGCCTCAATCGCTGAAGCAGGAGGTTGCTGTGGCCCCAGTCCAGGCCTAGGCCTACTGGCCATGTGGCCCCAGTCCAGGCCTAGGACTGCTGGCCACATGGCGCCAGCCAAAGTCTTTTACTCAGAAGCTGGCAAAAATGTTTTCCTTAGATTTCATGTTCTTACAGCTTCACCATCATCTGAATAAAACACTTTGGCTTCTCTGCCAGTGGGTCAGCCTCTTCTGGACCTCTGTAAATCTTTTAAAAAGTAAGATCTTCAAAAAGTAAGTAATAAAGTAAATGGTATATTTCCATTATTTTCAGTGGGAAGTAAAGGTAATTAAATTAGCACGAATGTAACCCATTAAGGTTATATTTAAAATATTTCATATGTTTAAAATGTCCCCGGTTTGCAACTAAATCATTTATGTCTATCCTTTGATTTTTGCACCAAATTGTACATTTTTGTTTTGATAAAAGCAAAATGAATATTCAGTGAAAACCAATCTGTTTCTTCATAGTAGTTCCTCTCTCACCATCCTCTAAAGCTCTACTCCTTAACTGGTTTTTCTTAATAATTTGTCTATTTAGAACAACATAAAGGAAGCAGCAAAAAAGGCAACAGAATTCCTAAGGGAGCAAAATCCCTACATCTACCAGTATATAATGATGGTCTCTAAAGTGGTCTTATTGCCACAGTAAAAAGCAGTAAAAAAAAACAAAACAATGACTTTAAAATACAGCCATTACTGTTTCCAGAATATATACCAGTAGTTGCTAAAATTTTAGAAGGTACCTATATTAACAGACAGCTGCTTCCATTAGCAGAAGAACAGCTTCCAATATAGGGGGGAATAATCATAAATCCAGCAAGTTTTTATATTTGCTTGAGAGTCTATGAGAAACCTGTTGCTAATGTTAGAATGAGACTTCACTGAACAACTAATATAGTTTTGTCTTCTTGTAGTTCTTGAAATCCATGCCACGGAATTCAATGTTTCAAAGGCATTCATATCATTTTAGCCATTTTTACATCAGATTGCCAGATTTAAACATTTCATGGAAAAGTTTTTTTATAATGCTGCTATCAAGCATTGTACATTAGGCTTGTTAAATTTCCTGTTTCTGATGAGATTGCGTTTCTCAATGCTTCAAGTGTATAATGGCTTATTTAGTTATATTAACAGAATAGATATCAGTAAAAATCATATCTTTATAGCAAAAAAAGTAAGTAATCCATGGGAAATGGGGTGGGGAGGAGTAAGTAGAATCTGGGATGCTAGCAAAGCAGGCCCAGTCTATGCAGGATGGGGGAAAGCAATTATGTGGACCCTAGGGGAGCATGAGGTATCTCAGTGGAGTGGGGGAGGCCTTGAATGGTCTGCTCTACTACTAGGCCCCAAAAGCTGTTCCCCATGTGCATTTAAAGATCTGAACATTCGATTAACAATTGCTTAGGGAAAAGTAGGGAGTGATCACGTTCATTTAACATGATTCAATCAAAGAAATCTCCAAGTTACAAATGTAATTGGCAGGCTCTATTATATTTGTAACTGGAGGATTACCTGTATAATGAGAGTAAATGAGAGTCATAGGGAAGTCCTGCCTTAGCACCACATGAGTCCCGTGTCATGCCCACCCTGGCCGCGCCCTCCCAGTCACATGACCACCCAGCCACACCTACCCAGCTGGTTATTAGGGCAGAGAACTGGTTGATAAATTATTTGAATCCCACCATTGGTAGAAGACTATAGAAAGTATACACTAGTTTAAGATAATTTATAAGATTCCGCTGCCAAATATTCACATCAAAATGTATGTTTCAAAATTAAATATATTTTGTCTTCCATAAAAATCACAAATGAACCGCTAACCTGATTAATACTCTTATATTCCTCAAGTACTTTCTAATTAGTGACCAATCAAATTAACTTCCCAACTCCCAGAATTTGCTATGGCCATTGCTGTAAGGAGTTGAAAGGTGCAAAAATCTGATATAAAAGACCAGATGCTATAGCATTGTCTTTGCTGAGCATAAAGTACCAGGAAAAAATGATTAAAACATTGTAAGTAGGACCCAGAGTTCACTCTATTAAACTGAGTAAGTCCAAAGCCAATCCAAGCATTTTCTCCGCCACCCGTGAACCTCACATTTCAGAGACAGATTGTTCAGGAGAATATGTTATATGGATATGATTTTCTAAGCTGCTCCCTGGAAGAGAAAAAGCAAGAAAAGCTGACTTTCTTCCATCATCTTTCCTATTACTCTATTCAGAAGATCTTTGGTTTTTTTTTTACTTGGTGGTGGTGGTGGTGGTGGTGGAGGAGGAGGAGGAGGAGGAGGAAGAAAAAAAATCCTTTTGTACAAATATTTTTTCTAAAACCTGCTCAGTAGAAAAATTAAGAACTAATCATTTAAAAGTAACAAATTCATTTAGAACAAGTGGACTATTTCAGCTTTCATATTTTTTTCATAAAGAAGAGCTAACATATGGAACAGACACAAATGAAATTTGTTTGCTATTATCAATCAATGTAGGGGCAATAGGATTATATGAAAATACTGTATTGTCAGAAGAATACATATGTTGTCTCAAATTGTAGATCAATTAAACCTTTTATAAAATGTTTAATGAATATATATATATATATATATATATATATATATATATGACAATGCCATTATCTTTGTGAAATCAAAGAATCAAATCAACACATCTAAAATCAATGCTTAGTCCCACGAACTTCTTAAATTTCAAAACCATACGGGCAAAGGTGTTTTTCCTATTGAATACTTAATATATGATAACAATATATAAAAGGGATTTTTTCAAGAATTCTTGCTGAGTTCAACAAAAACAAAAAGGAGACTGCAATATAAACATTTAACACATCCAACTTGATATTAGCCAGACAAGCATCTGTTAAACATATGGATTTAGCATGAAATTATTATATACAAATCATATCTTAATCAGACACTTTCTCTTTAAAAATAAAGAAATTATTCTCCATCAACCTTATCTTTATCTTCCACAACATCTGCCAAGATGTCATCTGGATCCAGGATTCCGCCATCTGTGTATTCCAGATGGTGAACATTCACCCAATGTGAAGGATTCTGCAAATGAAACATAAGTATGTTTTCTCATTAATCACTATTTAAGTACACTTCTCTCTATAATATGAAGGTTTTCACACTGTATACCATTATATTTAAGAATATCAAATTCTAAAAAATATAAATGCTGAATACTTGCTGAAAAACAAAGCACAAGTGAAATGAAAATTTAGTATCAGAAAAACAAATCCAACCAATATGAAATCATTGCAGGATTTGTTCTGCAGGAGCCAGTAAAAGAACAATGCAAGGCTTTTATTTAAAAAAAACAGGAAAAAGCCCTGCGTAAGACACCTTGCAAACTATGAATTTGTTTGCCTTATACTAATTTAGAATAGTGTTAGTGAACATAATCATTAATTTAAATATTATTTAAAGTGTCATTCTTTAACCATTTCTAATAAATGTAATCACCGAACCGGTAGTAATACCGGTTGAATCCCACTCCTGGTGTGTGTGTGTGTGTGTGTGTGTGTGTGTGTGTGTGTGTGTGTGTGTAAAAAATTATAAACATTCAATATCTAAATATGCTGAATTAATTTATATAAATATATAAGCATATAAACATTCAACCAAGGTACACAAGTTCATCTACTTGCCCTAATTTTATCACCATTCATTCTTTATTTGCCCTATCAAATACAACTATTTCTGATACAGATTTATAGTATTCTTGGCATAATACAATTTATTACTGAATCATTTGTATATTCATCCATCATCATCTGTATATTAAAATACAAACATATTGTTGTCCCCAAACAATACACTTCTAACATTACCAGAAGCATTTCTTATACATTGGAGAATGGATGCATAAAATAACCACAGAAATATCTTGTTTTATTCTGTGCTTAGTGTTACCCCATTTGCTAAGCATTCCATTTACATCCATTCATACTCTATCAGCACATGCCACGCTTATCACATTCAACAATTCCCTTCCTCCTGATCAACAAATAATACAGTAAACTAGCTTTCTCGCATTCATATATTTCTCAGTAACCTTCTGAGGAACAAAGTGTCAGTTGCACATCTTGCTGACTAACATAAAGCCAATTTGCACTTCATAAATTTGGCTCAGTCACCTCTTCTACCTTCCTAATCGGAATTCTGTCAAACATATTTCTAGGCACATTTTACAAACAAATTTCTGCATTTACTCTTACTACATTTCCCCCCTACACAGGGTAACAACAATAGCATTCTTTCAATTTTCAGAGACAGTTATCTTCATAATAATTTTCTGAACTTCCTCTCATTCCCACCCATCCCTTCGCATCACCTAAAAAAACATTTTCCCTGGATCACATTCATGCCAAATATTATGATTTTATACATAAATAAATTTGTCTCTGTTTCTTCCATCACCATCATTTACTGAAGCGTAACGTGCAATTATCACTAGTACATAGACTCCTACTTTTACATGTACTCACAACAGAAATGACACTAATTCATACTTTCTGATAAACATTTTAGCCTCTTAATATTCATCAATTCTATTCCATATGATAAACCACTTTCATTTAAATATGCTAGTCTTCTTCACCTAGTCTCACACTCAGTATATTTTTCCATTCAACACTTGTCTTTTACCAAATATTTAGTAAATATTAGTAAATATTTAAAGCCCTGATGGCACAGTGGTTAGAATGCAGTATTGCAGGCTAATTCTATCAACTGCCCCCAGTTTGATCCTGACCGGCTCAAAGTTGACTCAGCCTTCCATTCTTCCGAAGTCAGTAAAATTAGCAGCCAGAATGTTTGGGGGCGATATGATGACTACTAAACTACTGAGAGTGCTGTAAAGCACTATGGAGCTATATATAAGTCTAAGTGCTATTGCTGTGTTCCACATTGTAATCTTTCATATGCCACGGACTTCAACCAAATGATGACAGATGTTTGTCTGAAATGGCATAGGGTTTCCTGCCTGAGGAGGGAAGGAAACCCTATACCATTTCAGATAAACATCATCCATCTATTGGACTAGAAGACCTCCAAGGTCCCTTCCAACTCTGTTATTCTGTTATTCAGTTCAAGAAAAGTTTAAATAGAAATATGAGGAAATGTTTCTTCATCAGCATATAATGGCATCTAACAATAAGAACTGAGTGACAACAAGCAATATTGAAGAAAGAAAGAAGTCTCATAGAAATTGTGGATAGCATGCAATCATAATAATTATAAAATTATAACCAGGCCAGGTATGACTCTATGGTGTACTTTCAATAGTCAATAATCAAACTTTATTAAGCTTAGAACAATGTTTATTTTACTTAAGTATTAAAAGACTAATCTATTGACACTGCAACACGTGAATGTTCAATACTTTGCAAATGAAAGTTGGGAAATTGGGGGGGGCTGGCAGGAGGCAAGCTCTGTGAAGATTAGTAGAATCATGGCTATAAGATCAATACTGAGCAGGCTGATGGGAAGGCAGGCTTGTTTTTATTAAGGCAGGCTGTTAATTTTATATTAAATTACATTTTCATTATTTTTTGTTAGAAGGCAAAGAATCTCAGTTTATTTTAGTAACATTTTGTACTTCATTTTGGATTTTACTTATAAAATTGTTTTTTCATAAAATAAAAAAGGAGTGGATTCCATCAGAGATGGAGAGTCATGAGATGATGTAAAAACAACAACCTTGCCCTAGGTAAATGATGAGAGAAGGATGAAAGATATACTTCAATTCAATGAAGGCCAGAGAACAAACATAAAATTTCAAAACAACCATGAATATTCTGTGACATTATTACTCAAATTTTAATATATATTGCAAATTGAAATATATATTGCTGGCTCATTTGTTTATTTTATTATTATCCCACCACAAACAAATTTCTCTTGACAACATTACATTTATGCAATTCTAAACTCTAATGTCATTTAGTCTCACTCAGTGGCATCTCCAGAGCAAAGCAAAAAAGGCAAGATCCTAATTATGACAACATGATTAAAATCCTGACCCTTTATGTGTATGCCTGGCATTGATGCACATACCCAATAGCTTTTATCTTAATACCACTACCACCCCATAGCCACTGGACATACTACTATTCCATATAAAAGGGGCGTTGGTTCTTACCTGATACGCTTCTTCTTGTAGAGCTGCGTAGAGCGTCCAGGATGGGAGGTGCTCCAGTCTCGGCTCTCACAGGCTGAGCTTGAAATTGAGGAACGCCTCTCACCATCACGTGGTCCTCTCGACTCTCCCCAGTTTTGTGAAGACGAGAAGGAAGGCCCTATTCTCATCCTAACTAAAGAGTATTAGTTTGCTTGGCCGAACAAACGAGGTTCCCCACCAGACGGGCTAATGGGTGGGGCTGGACGCTCTACGCAGCTCTACGAGAAGAAGCGTATCAGGTAAGAAGCAACGCCCCTTCTCCATAGAGCTGCTACGAGCGTCCAGGATGGGACATACCAAAGCTTGGCGAGTCCTGCGGGCGGGCTCCCGTCTGGTGTGGAACCTCCCCTGGAACCTCGAGGACCCGCTGAAGGACCCGCCTGCCAAATGAAGCCTCGGCAGATGCAAACACGTCGATCTTGTAGTGTTTGATAAAGGGGGAAGGAGATGCCCAGGTGGCAGCCCTACAGATGTCAGTTATTGAGGCTTGGGTGGCCCATGCAGCAGAGGTAGCCGCACTTCTAGTGGAGTGGGCGGTGACGCCCGTAGGAACAGGAAGGGACTGTGCCTGGTAGGCCTTAGCGATGGCGGCCCTAATCCAGCGGCCCACGGTTGTGGGCGTTACTTTGTGACCGAGAGACGTAGGCTGAAAGGACACAAATAACGCCTCCGACTTGCGAAAAGGCTGGGTGCGCTTGATATACACTCTCAAGGCGCACCTTACGTCAAGGGAGTGCCACTGTCTCTCCCTCTCTCGAGAGGGGTTGGGGCAGAAGTTCGGGAGGATGAGCTCCTGAGCTCTGTGGAATGCTGAGTTTATTTTAGGGAGGAAGGTAGGGTCAGGTCGGAGAACGACTCTGTCAGAATGAAAAATACAAAGGTCCTGTCTGATGGAAAGGGCTGCCATCTCCGAGATCCGACGAGCGGATGTAATGGCCACGAGAAAGACAGTTTTGAGAGTGAGAAACTGTAAGGAAGCCTCCCTAATGGGTTCAAAGGGGGGCTTGGTAAGAGCGACCAGGACTTTGTTGAGGTCCCAGGTGGGAAAACGGTGTATGGTCGGGGGACGGAGATTGGAAGCTCCCCTGAGAAAAGCCCGGATAAGGGGGTGGTGGGAGATGGGACCCCCAATGTCTGAGGAAACAACAGTTGCGAGGGCCGTGACCTGACGCCTTAGGGTGTTGGTAGACAGACCCTTGTTAAGGCTCTCCTGAAGAAATTCCAGGATCTGAGCAGTGGAGGGAGAAAGGGGATTAATTTGAAGTTTGAGGGCCCAAGAACGGAACCCACGTGGCATTGTAGATACGGGTGGTTGAGGGCCGTCTGGCTGCCAGGATGGTGTCTATAACCTGGCTGGAAAAATTCTGTCCCTTTAAACGGTCCCGCTCAACCTCCAGATGGCTAATTGGAGCCATTGGGGGTTGGGGTGTAGCAGAGGGCCCTGGGACAGGGAGATCTTGTCGGGAGGGATCCTCCAGGGAGGGGCCACCGAGAGGTTGCGGAGGTCCGCAAACCAGGGGCGTCTGGGCCAATAAGGGGCTACTAGAAGAATCTCTGCCCTTTCCAGAAGCAACTTGTGTATCACCCTGGGGATGATGGTAAGGGGGGGGAAGGCATAAAGGAGCCCTGGGGGCCAAGGGCAACGGAGGGCATTGTGGTTCTCCGCCCCGTGAGAGGGGTATCTGGAAAAAAACCTCGGTAGTTGGGCATTGAGGGGGGATGCGAAAAGATCCACCGTGGGGAGCCCGAAGATTGAGACTGCTTCCCTGAATAGGGAGGGGTGGAGGTGCCATTCTGCTTGGTCCAGAGTGGCCCTGCTGAGCCAATCTGCTTGGATGTTTAGGGTCCCTGATATGTGGTCTGCCTT